CTCGCTATGCTGGCTTTCATGACCGGCTTGCTTCCCAACTACTGCCGTGATAACTTCAGTTCGTCGCTTCTATGCACTCGTCTAGTGAACGCTGTTCGAGAAGTCTATTCGACGCACAAAGACGCGCAAACTGGCGATTTTTCACTGCTGCTGTGGATCCTTTTCATGAGCGCTATCTCGGTTCTGAAAGTCAATGACCACAGCTGGCTGCTATTTGCAATCGCGGAGACTTGCGACCGTGCAGACCTGCGCGACTGGGCAAACGTTCACCACCATCTCAGTGGATTTCCGTGGATATACACACTGCATGATAATCCCGCGCGGTGTCTATGGGAGGAAGTTCGTGAAGTGAAGTTAGAGGATCGCGGCACCGCTCTTTCACCACCCGCAAAATCGACTCAACGCGGGCTTTGAAAACTAATTTTTCATCATTCGGAACCTAGCTAGACATTCTTAGGCGGAGAGGTACCTCGCTTTATGATACAACTCGGGAGAAATATAAGACTTGATATCCGGCTCACCCTTGTCGGTGCACTGGTAGCTGATGTACGCGTGCATGCCCTTACCGTTCTCCAGCCCGCGGTGGACGGCAAGCTTCTCTAGCATGGCGAGATACTCGTTGCAGTAGGCTCCACGGCCACGCTCCCGGAGCCACGCAACCAGGTTCCTCGCAATCGTCAGGTCGTCGGGGCCGTATTTACGTGTGGGCAGGTAGAACTTTACGTCGGGCGTGCCGCTCGAGGGTGCAATGTCGAAGAAGTATGTGAAGCCCTCACACAGCGCATCAAAGTCGTCCCACTTGTTGTCGCCGCTCGCGGACGCCGGAGCGAACTCGGCGTCCTCAGGGTAGTCCTCGGGCAGGCCGAGGATGGCGAGGATGAGGGAGCGCAGGTCCTGCAGGCTGGCCTCGGAGACGTCGCGGAGTCCACCCATGGTAATGACCTCCCGGACCGAGTTGAAGCAGGTGTGGCGCGAAGTGAAGTACATCTTGAGGCGCGATTTGGACGGCGTTACGTTATCCATGCCCATGACGTTGGGCTTCATGAGGCGGCCCTCAGGGCTGTTGGCCAGGAAGTGCATCAGGGCGTCTCTGCCCGGGTGCTTGCCATCCGGATTTAACTTCTTGATCGCGGCGTCCCATTCCCCTAGCGTCGCGGGGTCACCGCCCTGGAAGAGCTTCCGCGGGAGGAAGTACGACTTGAGCCCGAAGCTGGCTTTCTTATTGTACTCAACGGCGTGCATCAGAGTCGTCGCTGGCGGCTCGCCGTCCTCCAGCTCCTTGGCATAGACGGACCTGTCTGGGTTGTACAGCTCTGCCAGGAAGTGGCGGTACCATGAGAAGTCGACGCCCGAGAGGGCGCTTGGCACTTTCTCCATATAGTCGAGCGTGGGATCATGGTTCAGAGGGTCAGCGGCGGTTCCTGAGGAGTTGTTGATCGCCTCCCAGGAGTAGCGGATGTCGGGTTCGCCGGACGTGGTGTTCCATTTCCACGAGTACTCAAATGGCGAGCCGTCGTAAGCGACCAGAGACTTGAAGACCGCAGTGCCATCAGGGTGAGGCGCTGGGCCCAGTCTAGGGACCTGGATAGTTGTTGAGTTAGTGTCCAACCCGTAACAAAAGATGCGAAAGAGCACGAAGCAAGCTGCTTACAATCCAGTGATAGTGGAAGAGAAGGGTCTCATATTGTAGCTGGGTAGAGTAACCTGCCGCGTCGATCATAACTGCGAGATGATACCCAGTGAGATTCCACCAAAATTCAACATCCTTGTTTTCCGCTGGCGGAAGACATTTCTTGAGTGACTGCCAAACCACGAGTGGCTTCTCAGGCTTCTCAGATTGGACTAAGGTTTGGGTTGTAAGTCCAGGCATCATGGGCTAGGACAAATGAACACGGACTAAAGAGTAATCATTCAACTCAGAGAGGCGCGAAGGCTTTTACTGTACAAATACTTTCCAGCGCAATATATGGTGGTGAAGATGAGCTGATGTTGGCCGATTTGCGACCGGCCTAACTGGGTTGACGGGACCCGAGTTAGTTTAAGGACCACTTTGGGCAATTATGAACCGGAAGAGTTATTCTAAGGCAATGCCCCAGCTAGTGTTGGGACATGCCAAGTAGGATCCGAGGCCTGTCAGCACATACTGTGTAAGCCAACTAATAACACCAATGCAAATACACTGAGGGCTTGGTCCAAGTCAACTCGGCCCCGGACCCGACAACCTGCACCGCCCTAGTCTACACAGCTGCTTCACGAACGAGGGATGGCGCACGGTCAGATTAGCTACAATTAGACAATTGAATACAACGGAAATTTTTTTTCAGAATCATGTGATGAGAAAATAGTTCTTCAGTCCAAACCACATGCACGTCCAGTTGAATAGGGTTGGCAAACTGCATCAGTGATAAGTTATGTTTGAGAGAAACTGTGTGCGAATAACGAACAATGTCTGTTCAGGTAATTCGTTTTACTTGCTTTAAAACCTAATTGATTCATGATTTCTCTGCAAAGTTCTCGTAAATTATTTACATGACCCTAGCTACGAGTCGAAAGCTTGACGAGGAATCCCGATGGCTTGGCAAGCCACTTGTTCTCAACAGTCCACTCCTCATTTTGGTTTACCAATTGTATCTAGTGCGGGGGTTTAATTAATTTCCATTCTCAAATGAGTGGCAATGCTAGTCTACTCACGTTGTAGCGTTGCAATAACGAGGGAATGAGCTTATACATCTCAAAATAGGCGAGGTGTTTCCCGAGGCAGCTTCTGTGGCCAGCGCCAAACTTGTGAAGCCAATAACGTCAACGCGAATTCCAATTGAGATCTTTCTTGTTCGTCAAACTTACAGTCAGAAGTGTATTGTACATGGAGGCGTGCTTCTCTTCATCACACAACCATCTCTCGGGTCGCCAGAGGTCCGGTTCGGCACCATACAGTGACACTTCGCGGTGCAGCGACCACGGGTTCTGAGGAGTTGGAGTAAATTGTCAGCATCGGAGTGTCTTTAAACTCAAGCCATAAAAAGAAGACGAAAAGAATTGTCGCCTTACAATCCCGATTCTTGTTCCCGGGGGAATGTGGTACCCGTCGATCTCCAGTCCACAATCAGGAACCACGCGCTCGAACGGGAGGGCAAATGGTGGATGCATCCTGGTGGCCTCTTTGACACAGGCGTCAAAATAAGTAAGAGATTTGGATTCTTTCCAAGTCGCGAATTTGGAGAGTCGCCCCGCGGCGGTGGCATCGTCGATCTCCTTTTGAAGCTTTGCGAGCGACGCTGGGTTTTTGAGCAGATGGTATATTAAGGCGCCAGATAGAATGCTTGTCGTGTCTGCACCTGCCACGATATTGGAATTGACCCAGGTGGGGAGGAACCTATTGCGAGTTGTGTCAGTCCAGATTTTTTCATTACTACATGCGAGGCTCAAAATGCTACATGTAGGCACATACATTGCTGGTAGAGTGTGGTCTTTGGCATTCTCAGAGATGAAGCTGGAAAGGAAGTCTTTTTGGCCGAGGTCGCCTTTGCCGCTCTCGAGCAGATTCATTCGCTCCCTGATTCTAGCGGCACCGAATTCTACGAGCGGGTTTCTTTTCGCCGAGACGGGAATCAGAGGATTGTCTCTCCAAAAGTAGTCAAGCCAAGGCATTTGCGTATTCTGTTGTATGCCAAACGATTAGCGTAGTGTTCCCTTATAATCATACTGGGGATCATAGATTCTCACGTACTGCAGCAATCATGTTGAAATAGCGCCAGTTGTTCTCAATGACGCCTTCAACATCGCCACCTTTATCGAGACATCCAAATTCCTTTGAGAACGTGACTTCCCCCAGAACGTCGAACATGAAATATTGCATCCAATTGAATAGGCCGACTTCAACGTTCTTGTCTAGGAACAGCTCGTCTAACCGCTCGAATAGGTGTTGCATAGTAGAGTTCACGACCGGCTCAAACGCCATCAGATTTGTGAGCGAGTACAGATTGGCGACGGGACGCCTCATTCGCCGATGTATATCCTCGTCTCGAGTAGCGAAGACATCTGGAATCTTGCCGCCCTTAATCCTCGGCATTATTGAGTCGTAGAACTCGGACTGCACTGGAGGTTAGTGTTGCAACGATATGAACATCGGAGAGTTCTAAGGACGTCGGGCTCCAATGCTAGCGTCGCGTACCTTCTCAAATCTTCTTTTGAAACCGTATATCTTCTCAATTGCATCGGGCTGGGAGACCATGACGGCATTGGGACCAAACCGTACAACGGTGCCATATTTGCTGTGCAAATTGGTGTGAATTTCGTGAGCGTTGCCAGTGTTGACCCACGATCGACGGATGAAGTTCGTGAGAGCTGCCGCAGGTGGTCCGGGGATGTGTCTCAACCGGATGTAGGAACGCGCATTGTCCAGAACGAAGATGAATATGCCTACGACCGCCAGGAATCCAACTATACGACAGGCTCTGTCATCGAATTTTTCAAAGAGCCCTTCCGAAAACATTGCGGCGGTGGTAACGGATGTGTGGATGGATGGCTGATGATCGTCAGCTTGGTATCCCCTTTCGCTCTCGCGACGTATGATACTGGTGGTCAATTCTTACGCGATGGAGACTTAAATGTGGTAGCTAGATACCAGGCGTAGATTGCATCACTCGGGTTATTGGCTGCGCCTTTCCTGGCCGGCTCATTGAACAACTCGGGTCCGACTAGGTCAGCTCGGCTGTACCTGACGAGAGACAAGGTGTGTCAGGGATTACGTTCCTGAGATGACATCAGAAGGAGAGATATGCCACTTCTCCCAAGGCTGGTGGAAAGTAGAACAGGGGCGAGACGGCAGAAACAGTCTTTCCTCCCAAAGTCCTGCTTCAAGAGTTATTGTTTTCTTCTCAGTATGTCCGAAGCGAGATTTCAGCAAATTGATTAGTCGTAAAGATATGGTTGTGAAAGTATGTTTCTTGTACAAAAGAAGAAAATGACGCCAAAGCTAAGAAGCTTCGTTTGCCATAGTCTTACTTGATATCTCTCCCGATTCTCTCAAGCAAAAATCTGTAGCCCTCCATGACATAGCCCCAACGGCTCCCATCAGGATCCCGAAAGAGATCAAACAGATGAGGTTGACCAGGGGCAAGAGTAAGCCCCGACTGAATGCCCGCATCTCTCATCGCATCGACTGTACGCTGGGCCTGCTCCCATGGAATCAGATCATCTCCAGTGCCGAAAACAATGTGCGTCGGTGACTTGTAGTTGCCCTTGACAACCTGGGCATAAGGGCTTGCGCGCAATACCTCATCTAATGCGGGTTGCTCCAGTTTGTTATATGCGGTCGCGGCGTGTGATGGCACGTCCGAGCCCGAAGGCAAGCCACGGAAAAGAACGGGTAGTGTCTGTCCGTGCCAGTTCATGTGCAGCACGACACGGCTGCGAGGGTCTTTTGGTGCTATCCAGCCTGCTGCTGCCATCATCTTTGGAGGCACGTTGTATGCGGTGATGGGGGCAGGAGAGACCCCGTCAATGACATTGTAGGTCTCGTTTGCGAACCCACTCGAGTGGTCTGGGACATTTGGCTTCCGCCAGAATTCGTCCTCATAATCAGTCGGGCAATAGAAAGCAAGGATCGCATCTGGAGCTGGGATGCCACGCGGTACCGAGGTCCAGGCCAAGGACATGGCCAAGGTGCCCCCGGTAGACCAGCCGACTACCACAGCTCGGTTGCGGTCGAGAAGGTTGTTAGTTTTCGTTTGAGTTAGCTTCAGGTCTGGCAGGGTGTTTCTTGCCCAAGCATATGCTGTGACAACATCAACAAGCGGCCCACTGAGAATGGTCGTCTCCGGGCAAAGCCTGTAATCCACGCTCACGGGTAAGACACCATTGTCTAATAGAAGTTGGATTTGACGCAGCCGCACGTCCTGACGTGACAGCATCACATGCCCTCCTCCGTGAACTATGAGACCTGTAGCGGAGCATCGTCAGCTCCAGTGTCTATGTACAAAATGCGAGCTTCTTGATTTAAACCATACCGGTAACCCAATTCCTATGCGCTGACGCCTGAGATGGTGAAGGGTAGTGAATGTCTGCTCGAAGCGGCAATCGCTTATCTGTGTGCGTGAATACGACTGTTTCAACGCCGCCAGCCTTCTCCTGGGGTATGCTGCGGTGTTGAGATGCATCCTGAACAGGCTGCTTGAAACCCGTGATGACCCTGCAGACCTCAGACTCGCGTTTGTGGCCGCCCGTCCAAGAGACGTGTTGGAACCCGACCTGCCTCATTGTATCATCCCAAAATTCTGGAGTCGCCAGCACGTAGGGGCGGCCGTCGTCGTATAACCACCAACCGTCCAGGAGACCGAACACCATGTCCAGCCAGTAGTTTCGCGTCGTAAGTTCAACGAGCGACACGAAGCCATGAGGCCGCAGGAGCTTGTTGATGTTGCTCAGAGAGTTGTGCAGGTTGGTAGTGGCGTGGATGCAGTTCGTGGCTAGCACGATGTCGTACTGCCCAAGATGCTGTGCCGCGGGCGGCTTCTCGATGTCGATAGTGCCATACTTCATGCAATCGAGCCCGGCAAACTTCCGCTTGGCCCCCGACACCAGTGCGGAGGAGATATCGGTGAAGGTGTACTCGATAGGTATCCCCTTCTGCACAAGCCTGTCCACTACCCATTGCGTTGTTGCGCCTGTTCCCGCTCCCAGTTCAACAATGCGATACTTCCCGTCAGGTCCAGGGGTGGAATTGGACAATGCCTTCTCGAGGAAGGATGTGAGAAGCTGGGAATTGATGATGAACATAGGGGCCGTCGCGTACACGTCGTCAAGCACGCTGCGGTTCGCCTTGGTGCCGAACAGGATTGATAGCGGATCCATCTTGCCACTTAGAATCGCAGCCATCTTTGAACCACAGATATTCAGGAGGTTATGCTCCTTAGCATGCTGGGGGAACTCCGCAAGGATGTCCTTGAAACGGCTGCTAGAGGGCGTGGTGTCGACAATTGTCTCTGAGCGGACGTACTGCCTGCCATCGTAGTCGGCCAGCTTGCCGCGTTGGAGGATTTGGTGGAAAACACCCAGCATACGGTCATGTCTCGCTATTACTGGGATCTTAGGAATTTTGTCGCCGGGCCTCAGTGCACTGAGGTCAACGCCGAGGTCCGAGAAGGCCTCTACGACGTAGGCGAGAACCAAGTCTGCTTGCTTGTCGGCTACCTTGGTATAGAAGTTACTGAAGCCGTACATTGCGGCGAACTTGTCGAAATCACCCTTGATGCCCTCAAACTCCTGAGCTGCACTGGCAAGGGCTGGGCTGGCCGGATATGAGAGCAGCTGCTCTGTCTTGAGCGAGATACGAGTGTTGTCGATGATGACGCTAGAGTCAGTGCCGTCTGTCGAGCAGCCAGAGGACGGCGTTGGGGACGAGTCGGCCGTGCTGGGCTCCGTCGTGGCCGCATTGTCAACGGGTGCGGCGGCGCTAACGAGAATGTCGGTGAGGTCCCCGAAGGTGCAGGTGTCTGTGAAAGAGGATGCGTCGATGGAAACTCCGAACATCTCCTCCATGTCGCTCATGAGTTCCATGCAGAGAAGAGAATCCAGGCCGCGATCGATAAGATTCGTCAAGCGATCAAAGTCAGTAGCCGGGCACTCGAGATGGTTTCCTAGCAATTCTGCTAGTCGCGGTATCAAATCACCGCGCTAGTTTTGCTCTTGTAAGACGGCTGGCCCTGCCACTGACGCGTGAGGCTGGAATTCAGAGTCAGAAATGATGTTTCGATCCGCCGGATTCGTGGGTTGGTCGAAGGGAACAGCTACAACGGGATTCTTCAAAACCTGAGGGGTCCCCTGAAGCCTCTGAGATGCTTGTTGAGCTCCATAGCCATCGAGGTAGGCGCAAAGGGCTGAGAAGGTCTGCATATCCTGAAGTTGATCCTGCGGGATCAAGATCTTGAACACCTCGTTGACCTCAGATACGATTTCCGTAGCCATCAGAGAGTCAATGCCCAATTCCTCAAGCGTGGTGTCACCATGGAATTGATCTGCTGGAACGTCTGTCATCTTGCTCAGCAAGTCACACAGCTCATCTGCCACACTCGGAGCAATCGCTGGTCGGACCGGCGGTGAAGATGGCAGTATGCTATTGAATGCAGCCGCGATGCTTGGAAGAGAAATGGAAGCTGGCGATGGAGCCTTCAAAGGCGCTGCCTCAGTTGTGGCGGGCTTGATAGCTATCGCCGAACTTCGTTGGTATGTTTTGGAACACACAGCCTCAGAATTATCGGAAGGGTTCGCCCGGGACAGAATCTTGGCGAGAGATGCCATCCTAACTCTGCTAAACTTGGCTCCGGAAGCAACGAAAACGAGCTGTCCAGTGATCTTATCTGTGACAAAAATGTCGTTGCTGCTCTCCCTGTCGCTCGTAGCGGTGGATATCGCAAAAACATCCCAGCCAGGGCTGCTCCCTTCGGCCTGTGCCTTGCCAAAATCAGGCGACAATTGAATGCGGTCGACGTATGTAGAGACGAGCACATCATCTGGCGGACAAGGAGCAAGGCAGTTGGCGTATAGACCGGGGACCTGGAAGAAGTTGTCGATAGCGACGGGTGTAGAGACGAGATCTTGTGTGCAGGTAGGCTGTGCCTTGGGCAAGACAACATCGGCAACGACGGCACCGTCGCTGTTGCCGGCGACTCTGCGGACGCCTTGGTAAATGTCGCCGTATTGAACGACCCTGGAGAACACCTTGTACACAAGCTTGCCTTGGACAGCTTCGCCTCCAGGCTGCGTAGCCATCTCGGTAAACATCTGACCCATGTCTTGGTTCTTTTGCATGCGATGAAGGAGCTTGCTGGTCCGTTCTAGTTCAGTCGTGATGCTCTTGTCGGTTGACGGTACTATTTCGCACTTTCCGGTAGCATGCGTAGTAGTGACCTGCGATTGTCTACTTGAACGCTCTTGTGAGACGAAGGCAAAGTCGAACTTGCAACCAATCTGATCCAACGGACTCAAAACAAGCTGAACGATCCTATCCTCCCCTATTCCGAGAGGCGTGGAAATCTCCAGATCATCTACACGTGCAAAAGGCGCACAAGCGATGTTCTCAACGGCCGCGAGCTGCTTGGCGGCCTGCATGACTAGCTCGATATACATAGTCGCTGGACAAAGTGCCTTGTTCAGCACAGCATGGCCACTGACGAGCACCCTCCAGCATTCGGAACGAGGATCGATGGTAAAAGTCGCATTTCTGGGGCCACGGGATGCCCCATCTTGAAACCCGGATAGCGTAATGAGCACCGGCTCTGGCTCTGGCTCGACGACAAGAGACTCGGGCGCTTTCGCCGGCACTTGGGACAGCTCAGATGAGATCCCCGCCTTAAGGTCGAAGTCCAGCCAGTGTCGCGTCTTCTCGAACTGGTAGGGAGGAAGATTCAGGGCTTGATAGCTTTGCTTCTGGAAATGGTGGAAATGCCAGAACTGAACATGGTGGCCATGCCTCCAGAGATTGACGGTTGTGTCTGCTACCGAATTCAACGCGTCATCCCGAGTCAAGTTAATGGGACAGAACAGGTGGTCATCGGTGTTGCTGGTAGAAAGAGCGCGTCTAGCGATGCTAGTAACCGCTGAGTTAGACCCAGCTTCCAGCCATGTGCATGCGCCGAAGCGGGCCTCAATACGTTTCACGGCATCTTCGAAGTAGACGGGTGAGCGAGTGTGATCGGCGACTTGCTTGGCCGTGATGTCGAACAAGGTCTCTCCCATCGAGCAGGTCTCGAAGTGAATCACGGGCTTGTTAAAAGACAACTTCTCGACGAGCTTCTCCAAGTCCGCAAGAATCGGGTCGCTGAACCTCGAGTGGAACCCGTGCGTGACATTCAAGACCTTGGCCCTGCCCTTAGGACTTCTGCTCATGAATTGAACGTGAGCAGCATCAACTGCAGCAGAAGACCCCACGAGAACATGACTTGAAGGCCCGTTGAAGCAAGCTATCTCGAGACGGTAGTCAGAAGAGACGTCCAGTCTCTGCACTGTTGAGATTAGGTCCTTTGTGGTCTCGTAATCAGCCTCTAGAGCAATCATGGAGCCCCTTTCCGAGCCCCATTTCTGGCGCATCAAAAGGGCTCGCCCATACACCAATTTGAGGCCGTCCGCAAGAGACAGAACGCCAGCAACGACCATAGCGACGAGCTGACCGAAGGAATGACCCAAAACGCAATCAATTTGTAAGCCGCAAGCGATCCAGGACTGAGCGCAGGCATAGTGAAGGGCAAACTGCATCGTCTGCAGCGAAACCACATCATCAACTGGCTGGGTCGCAAATATACCCGGATAGATTCCCGGGTGTGCGAAGCCTTGTATTATACCGTTGCATTCGTCAAGATACTTGCGAAGGAGTGCCGAACTGTCATAGACGTGCTTGCTGAGGCCCACAGAGCGGGAGGTTTGGCCGCCGAAGATGATGACAACTGGATTGGGCTTGGGGTTGATCTGGCAGAGAGGTGACTCGGGATTGAAAGCCACAACCTGAAGTTGATTTTCCAACTCTGAAAGGCTCGAGGCTGTTGTTGCAAGCATGTTTGGGAGAGTCCGATTCTGCCTCTCGCTCAAGTTGAACCCGATATCAGCCAGTATTTCGACCTCTGAAGCTGAGCCCCTGCGGAGAGAGGAGATATAGTCTAACAGCTTGGCGGCGTTCTCATGGAGGCTCTTGACACTGTTGGCAGTAATGATTACGGGGAATTTATCGACGTTACTTGATGCGGTGTCTTGGTAGCTCCGTGCCAGGGCGGTCTTCGAAGGCGGCTCCCTGACGAGCATGGCGGCTATACTACCAGCTGCCCCGTAATTGTTCACACAAGCAATGAGTGTGTCGGCAATCCAAGGGATGGTTTCTGTCGGGATCGACATTCGCCCGGGAACCAGGCTAATCTTGGGATGAGGAGATTGAAAATGCGCCTGTCTGGGAATGGCGCGATACTGCATCATCAAAAGAGTCTTGATGAGACCAGCGACTCCAGAAGCCCCTTCAGTATGACCGATGTTTCCTTTTACAGACGCAAAATGAAGAGGGACATCTCTCTTCCCGCCGGCAAAGACCTCCTTGATGGCGCCGAACTCGAGGGGGTCGCCAACGGGCGTCCCCGTACCGTGAGCTTCAACGTAAGTAACGTCTTCAGCCGCGATACCAGCCGTAGTCAAAAGCTTGCGGTAGAGTTCCGTTTGTGACGGGCTATACGGAACGGTGATGGGCACTTTGCTGCTGCTCTGCCTAACAGCGGTAGCGAGTATCGTACCAAGCACATTATCGCCGTCGGCAACCGCATCAGAAAGTCGCTTCAAAACGACAAGGCCGACTCCCTCGCCACGGCAGTACCCGTCAGCACTGGCGTCAAAGGACTTGCTCGCGCCAGTGGGGCTAAGAAATGAGGCGGCAGCCAGGTTCTGGTAGAAGAATGGGCTTGTGAAAATGGAGACACCGCCGGCGATGGCGCTCTTGCAGTCGCCGTGCAGGATTGCTTTGCAGGCAGCGTCGATGGCGACTGCTGATGATGAGCAGGCCGTGTCCAGGGCAATTGAAGGTCCAGACAACCCGAAGAAGTGGCTGATCCTGCCGGGGACGAAAGCTCTCAGAGTCCCCAGAGCAGAAAAGGCGTTGGCCGGATGGCTGGCTACGTTGTCATTGTAGTCTGACGCACATACGCCGATAAAGCAGCCGACGTCTAAGTCGGGCTTGCGGGGGCCGAAGAAGCCGGCCGACTCAAGAGCTTGGTAGGAAACCTCTAGCAGGAGTCGTTGCTGAGGGTCTAAGGACGCTGCTTCGCGGCCTGACTTCTTGAAGAAACGATGGTCAAAGCTGGCAATGTCGTCAAGGTAGTTTCCGAAGTATACCGTCTTGTCCGTGTCACGTTGGTGTTCATGAGCAGGGAAGCGTCCGCTGGGTGGTTCGCTTAGTTTCGACTCTCCCGCGTCTAGCATGCGCCAGAAATCCTCAACTGAGTCGGCGCCGGGAAATTTGCAACCCACGCCGACGACAGCAATGGCGTTGGGTGGCATGTCCTCCGTGAGGAGGCTGTCTGTGCTAGTGGTAGACATTGTAGGGTGTGATTTATAGTTCCTTGTTAAAAGGAGTTAAAGAAAGTTGAAGGTGCCGGTTGACGTTTGGAGAACTGGAGTTTCTTCAATGTGGGCACAAGGCCATCTCAAATAACTCATTTTCTAAGAACTCCGAATCCGGAAGTAATTCATCGTCCATCGGTTTGCATGTGCAATTGTGCCTCCAAGACGACTTGAGATATCTGGAACCAATCATAATGTCTCAACCGAGTTGCAAGGGTGCCAGGCCCGCAGAAGGACTCATCGAGGGCACGTTGAATGCACGAACTCGGGTCTCTCTGACTTGCCTCAACTCGGGTCCCGCATCCATTTAACACTCCAACAGCGTGAAAATACAACATAGATTATTATTGACTCAAATTTCCATTGCAGCTCATGATATCTAGATTGGTGAGGCTCATATCATTCGTTGCAGATGGGATCTGAAGCAAACAATCCGTAAGATATGGCCTGGTTGTAATTTCCTCGAACATAGCCAGTGAATCCCCGATTTCCTTTCTTAAAATCTTTCATGGGTAGTCTCATGAGACCTTTGCAATAAATGTCTTAGCAGTGCTTCCAGTTCAGTGGCCTGGCTTCGTGCCTAGATCCGTCTTCGTGCTTTAACAAGTACCAACCCAAGCAGTGTTGCGCATTTTGTTTTGCTCTGGTGTGGTTCTTGTTGATGCACCAACTGTCCGTGGCCTAAGCCGTCGACTTATGGAGAGTTGTGTTGCTCTAGGCATCACATGGGTTTCATTTCGTCGACACATAATATCTTTGGAAAGTACATAACTGACTGATCTGCAATTGTCATCGCGACTTGCCATCAGCACGCATATGAGCTCAAGCTTCTAAGCTCTGGTGATGACAATCTATCCCATCAACTGCCAGGATGTCTCAGCCGTCTCCAGTCTTTTGCCGACTCCAACTTTATCTCAAATCCATTCATAAAGTAGGTGGATGAAAAGGACAGGGTCGGATAGATTTGCAGTTCGTTCTTACCCAAAAAGCACGTATATACATATTGACGCTATGTAGTAGTTGATAAGATTCGTAAGCACGTTTGTTCCTTTCTTGTCTCCATAAACTCTCAAAGTGCGTCTTATTAACAGCCAGACGCATTGCGATGCTTCTACACTACATTAAAATTTGCTAACAATTTGAACAACCTTGTAGGCGTGCGGGGAAGCTAAACGTTCACGATTGGAGCCTGGGTACTCAACATATGGGCCTCAACTCCTGGACATCTCATTGAAGGAGCACAGTCAGAGTCCTGGAAAAGGTCAGCAATATTCTAAGTCTGGGAACCTTCTTAATGGTGTACTTACTCCAGTTTCCGACAAGGTTATAGTTGATGTTCCGATGAATGGTACCGAGAGCCATGCTGAAGGTACTGAGCCTCGGGTATGGGTTCGAGCCAGTATATTTTTACGTCAGCTGATTGATTCCAGAACGTTTGCGATTCCGGCACGCCTTCCCGAACTGGAGTGGCAGCTTCTGTTAGTGGAATATTTCTAACTCTTAGTTCAGAACTTTGAGCGAAGGCACTGACTCTTGTAAGTTACTATGAGAATGTAATCAAACTTACGCCTAATATAATGATTGCTTGCGAACGGAACTCGCGGGGTTCGTAACTTCGCTATTCTATAGAGTATATAAGTCCCTAGCCGCTTTTTGCCGGAATTCTAACCTGTAACATTTGATGCACTGTAGCATTTGATGCATCTCTTTAGTCATTCTAAGGCAACTATTAAGTACGTTCTATGACGATTAAGTATTTTTACTACCTGCCTTGGTTTAGTCTATCGCATTTTATCGATCATAGTTAATTTTTAATATGCGTTTCTCCGTTCTTCCTGCCGTGGCCCTTTTTCTGTATGTTCTTAAGATTTACCTTTGAAAACTCGTAACTTAAGGTCGCTAACGCTCGCGAGGGGTTTTTCTATGGCTGATATGCACGACTACTGCGCATGCTAATATAAAACCGACTCAGTAGTTGACTATGCTGCTACTGATCTGCTAGCCGGTGACTGCAGGTTCGGTTATACCTATGGTAGGTCTTGCGTTTCTTGCTAACCAGAGTCGCGCAGCTAAAAGCTTTATAGGCCAAAACTCGGGGCAATTCTGGATTGGTCGATTATCTGGTTCGGGACTAAGGTTCTAAAGACGATTCGTGAGTTCACGTCTAGCTAGATCAGTACCTAGGGAAACGGCACGACTGACTTATGAAAATAGCTTAAAGCGATTGGTGGCTAAATTGATGGAAAGCAGTTCTATAATAACTGCGAATGATGCGACTTGCTTTAATTGTGAAACTAAGTTCGGGTATCTTGATGGGTCTATTCTGTGTCGGTAATTATTTGACCTAGATAGAGTTTGTTTTCTTATTGCTTAACATTCTATTATAATAAGGTGCTTAGGTGACTGCAGTTCTATTGAGCAATTGGGCCATAGGCGTCGCCGTGAGTTACTTTTATAGTTAGCGCTGTTCGTGGTGCTGCTTTGTAGCTATTTTTGTGCATAGCTTTTGTGTCCTGCCTTAGAGCTTTTGTTACTCTCTGGGCATGGAATTGTGATAGATTACTTTGCCTATCTATAAGAACTTACGTATCGGCGCTACTTATAAGCGGAAGTAGATGTGAAGTAGCGAACTGTGGAAACTGTATGAAATCGATATGGAACTCCTCGTGAAATGAGAAGTGATGCTTGCTGTACTATCCGGTTCTGAGAGCATGTGTAATTTTTAGGGTGGGTGGAAGTGCCTTTTTCTTGGTATCTAAGAGCAACCCTAGTGAAGCATCTCGAGCTAGTTGCTAAAAGTGCTGCCTTAGTGTTGGCTTCTATACCCAAGGTAAGGTAAAAGGGGAAGCTTTCCCTGACGAAGAGCGGTATTAACCCACTTTTTCGAGTAATTGAGTAGGCATTCTGATACCGAAATGACTACTTGAGAACTGAGATTAATAGCGAGTTTTCTGGTCTGAAGGTTAATTTATTATACTTCGAACCTGTCCCGACAGGCAACACCCCACTAGGCAGGAGGTACGATCCCGAATCCCTGTCGCTGAGCACACTCGCCCTATGAAGACCGACTATAGTTACAATTGAAGAAATCAGCCAAAGGCTAACCTAATTGTGTGAGAGCTACCCACACGTCTCTACTCCGTATTAAGCCAGCTGGTCAAGCTGGCAGGCCGTGAGTGGAACACCGGGACCACCGGACGCTCCGGGCGGGCCGTCGGAATTTTTGAAAGGCGGTCCGCGGACAAGTCAGCTCCGGTGAGGTAGAACTTACAATGATACAGCATGTGAAGCCGCTTCTCTAGTGGATGGTGAACGCTCTAAGGCGTGTCCTAAGCGAAAGCGAACCATCGATCGACCGATGAAAGACAAAGTGTGCAATATGCAAGAAATACCGAACCATTGTACGTCACGTTGGAGATATTAAAGCTTATGCTGAGATAACTTACCGATACCGACGTTCAAACCTTGATCGACGACAGTCAGAAGTATCACAGGAGAACCCCACGATTCTGCAAAGGTTGGTAATTGGATGGCCATGAATCACGCCATGCGTGGATGAATGTGCGAGGATTGGCGTGCAGCTTCAATGATTACTCATACTGATAGTGCGTGTTTGGATTTGATTTGAGGGGGTTTGGCGAAGATGAAATTCTACCATACAGAGTGACCGGGCTCTCAGTCAAGAATCGTCAACCAGCCCAGAATTCTACTCAAATTGCAGAACCTCAACACCCATGCATGATATGCTTGCTCATGTTCATCATCGCGACGAAATACAGAGATCAGCTCTCCTCCGACGTGGAATCAACCGTGAACGTGTACCCGCCTTCAGCATCGGGCTTGATGTCCGAAAGACAGTACCGGGGGGTCTTCATACTGTTTCGCGTCGCGGTCAGATTCGAGCACATGGATTGATGGCTTGAGTTTTGCTTACCTCCATAACCAATTCGCCATACACATATTTTTTGCAATTTTTCGCCAGCAGAGTGACGTGATTCTTATATGGCGTATCATCGAAGCGGCGAGCAGAAGCCTTGACGGCGTCGTTGAGCGCAGAGACTTCGTGCTCCAATCGAGTCACAGCACCATCTAGCCCCTTTTGCGCATCTCCATTGGCTAGCAAGACAACAAGGTTCTCGACGAAACCTTCCTTGAGTTCCTTGCGCAGACTCACAATGTCGTTGACGATCCAGACGATGGCAACAGCAGCTCGGTACAGCTCGCGCATTTCTGGGGATGCCATGACCTCCTCGGGGAGGCTGATGCCGTTGGCGAACTCGAGGTTAACGGCCACCTGCATGATGCATGATGATGCCTCGCGGTATCCGAGGTATTCTTGGAGCGATGTGGCTCGACCAGCATACCGGTTCACGGCTTCTTGTCGATAGCCGTCAAGGGTGGCAGTAGCTTCTTTGGCGATGCGTTGTCGATAGCTGTAATTGTCCCCGTTGGCCTTCATGACAGCTTCAGCATACTCAGCAAATGATACAACGGCGTCATAATCCCGATACTGTGGTTGACCGGTTTCAGAGGTACATATAGTGAGGAGTCCGAGGCTACGGTTAATGAAGTCCCGGCAATCGGCCAGAAGAACATGCAGCGAGGCGAAGTCGAACTTATGTATGAGCGAGTACTGGTCGAGCATGTCATCGACGATGAACATCCAGGCCTGGAAGGAAGTGAGAGCTTCGATTCTATCGCACGAAGCATATGGGTACCAGCCCGTCAGTTGCTTCGATAGCATGGCCTTAGTTAGACGACCACGAACGGCATCATTGACTGCGTGACTATTGCTTGGTCAGTGACATCCCGATCATCGCTATAAAGGCCTCTTACCTCTCGATGATCTGCAGAATTTTGCTGTCTACAGCATCGAGGTGTGGGTTCTGGTCTCTCGGCCAATCTTCCATCAGCCGTCCCAGGTCGGGAATGCGAATCTTCTGGCCATGGAGCTGCAAAAGCATTTTCTCGCGAAC